ATATATACATATATATACATTATACATATGTAATAATATTTATATAAACATATAAATATAATGATAATTAATGTATTATTGTGATGTTCCAACATGATATGCATGCATTATTAGCGTCCGTAAGTTTGTATACACAATTTGTATTTATTTTCGAGTTTACTGTCTAGCGAACTGGTACAGCCGTATCCGCCAAATCGATGAATACGCAGATAATCATCACAATCGATCACTCCGTTTCCAGTGCAGTCCTGTTTAATAAATGCGTAAAAGATATTACACATCAGTGATGATATCGAGTATTATCTGTATCTGAAATCTCGATACAAGAAATGTGATTTTACCTGACCGAATTTGGCCATGTAGCCTTGTATCGCACGAGCAGCACAATAAGGATCGTTGACACATCGGGGATAAGCTAGAAGTGAAAAGAAGAAATATTTATTACATATTATTATTATAAAATTTCTATTTGTACTTTTATATAATTTAAGTATAAGTATTTAAATTTCACGTTCCTTCTTTTTTTTCAGAAACTAAACTGAAAAAGAGAAATAGACAGTCATTTAATTGATGTTTGAATTATGTAATTTTGTATGAGAGAAGAGCAATATATTTCGTATTCTTTTTTCAGGTTCTAAGCAAATTAAACATATATGTTTGATAAGGAAAACTACTTAATTAGATAAATATTTTTGCAGAGAAATATCGCATATTTGTTCATTCTTATATTTATCTAACTAATGTTATACGAATTCTCAGAAGCCTTCATTTAATGCATTCTTGAATTACTGATTGATAGCAATCTTTTGAATTGATGCATATAATTTTTATTTTAAGTTTTAGTCGGATTTCCCTTTTTAGCTACGCTTTCTATACATTCGTCAACGCTCTTTCTTGATGTCGTTTTTTTTTCAAAGTATAATGTAATACATTTGTCTATTTCAATTAGAGAGAGAGATAGAGCAAAACAAAGAAGAAAATACAGCTATGAAGCATTAAAGAGTTATAGAATTATGGTATTCGAATAGATATTCAAAAGCAGTTTTCTTTTTATATAAAAAAACTTAACTCACCACCATCGGTACTGCTCGGCTCGTTGTTTAGAGTTGGTTTGCCAGCATCA